TTATAAAGAGTGTGGTTAGAATGTGAAACTCACTTCCACATGGAGTAATTGAAGCAAGCACACATTTCAGGGGAAGCTGTATAAAAACATGAAGGATAACGGAATGGAAAGTGACACTGATAGGATAGGAAAAAGAGAGATAGACAAGAGGAGGCTCACATGAAATGTAAAGCCTGGACCAGTTCAACAGAATGGGTATCTTGTGCAGTACCTTCTGTGTAATATGGTACTTAACATCAACATCCAGCTAAGCTAAATTTCAATACATAAACACAGGCATTTACAGGAGGAGGATGACCATGACCCATCATGTTCACGTCAGTATTCAAAGATTTAACTACACTGATCCCATTTTCCAGCTCTTTGCCTGTAGTCCTGGAGGCTATGACAACACAAGTGAATATCTAAATAGCACTTAAATGTTACGAGAGTTTCTGACTCAACCGCCCTTTCAGCCAGTGAGTTCCAGACACCTACTACACTCTGAGTGAAATAAATTCTCCTTAACTCTCCACTTAGCCATCTACCTCTTACCCTTGGTTATTAACCCTTTGTACAAATGGAAAAAGTGCCTTCTTATCCACACTATCTATGTCCATCATAATATTATGGAACTCCCTTCCATTATTCAGGCTCCCTGTTGATCTTCACTGCTCCAAGGAAAACAATCCCAGCCTATCTGAAGAAGGGACCAGACCCGAAACGTCAGCTTTCCTGCTCCTCTGATGCTGCCTTGCGTACTGTGTTCCTCCAGATCCACACCTTGTTATCTCAGACTCCAGCATCGGCAGTTCCTACTATCTCCCAGCCTTTCCTTAGAGATCAGGCCTTCCAATCCAGGCAGCATCCTGGTGAATCACCTCTGGACCCTCTCAAGTGCTCTCACATCCTCCGATAGTGTGGTGACTATTGTACTCATTGCTCTAGTTGTGGCCTAACCAGCATTTTATAAATTTTTTTCTTCCTATTTATTCAGAGGATGTGCATGTCACTGGCTAGTTCAGCATTTATTGGCCATCCCTAATTGCCCTAAAGAGTCAACCACATTACTGTGGGTCTGGAGTCACAGTAAAAACAGAAAGAACTGCGGATGCTGTAAATCTGGAACAAAAACAGAAGTTGCTGGAAAAGCTCAGCAGGTCTGGCAGCATGTGTGAAGAAAAAAAATCAGTTAACGTTTTGGGTCCGGTCACCCTTCCTCAGAAACAGACCCGAAACGCTAACTCTGATGTTTTTCTTCACAATTGCTGCCAGATCTGCTGAGCTTTTCCAGCAATTTCTGTTTATGTTCCATGAGTCACATGTAGGCCAGACCAGGTAAGGATGTCAGTTTCCTTCCCTAAAGGGCATCAGTGAACCAGCTGGGTTTTCCTCAACAATTGGCAATTGATTCATGCTCATCTTTAGATTCTGAATTCAAATTCTACCATCTGCCATGGCAGGATTCAAACCCAAGTCTCCATAGCATTACTTGGGTTCCTGAATTAACAGTCCAGCAATAATGCCACTAGGCCGTCGCCTCCCCTTTCAGCATTACTTCTCTGCTCTTCGGAAACAAAAAGGATCTCTGATTTCTTTGAAGCATAGTAAAATTAATTGCTACGTAAGTGAAGCACATAACATACTATAATAAATAATGTGTGCTGCCAATCTACAGTTATCTTTAATCTAGTGTTTTAAACCTTCTACTTGTTTCTGTTTAAAACTAACATGTTTTGCTGTAATTAATAATTGTTACATCGAAACATTTGTTCACTCATGTCGTTTATTTTTGAGATAAAATAACCTTTAAAATTATTTTAAGATTAAAGTTATTTGTATTATTATCATATAACTTTCCAGGTTAGTAAATTGGGATTGGAAACTATCGAAAATGGGTGAAAGCTATAAGAAAACACAGTCCTTACCCTAAGATAAAACAAAGAACTGCGGATGCTGGTGATCTGAAACAAAAGCATAAATTTGTGGAAAAACTCAGCAGGTCTGCATGGTGCGGTGGCTCAGTGGCTACCACTGCTGCTTCACAGCGCTAGGGATCCGGGTTCAATTCCAGCCTTGGGTGTCTGTCTGTGTGGAGTTTGCACATTCTCCCTGTGTCTGTGTGGGTTTACTCCTGGTGCTCTGGTTTCCTCCTGCAGTGCAAAGATGTGCAGGTTAGGTGGATTAGACATGGAGGAAATGTGGGGTTACAGGGATAGCATGGGATGCCGTTTGGAAGGTCAGTGTGGACTTGATGGGCCAAATGGCCTGCTTCCGCACTGTAGGGAATCTAGAGCCTGGCAGCATCTGTGGGAAGAAAGCAGAGTTAAGGTTCCTAATGAGGAGTCACTGGATTTGAAATGTAAACTCTGTTTTCTTCCCACTGATGCAGCCAGACCTGCTGAGTTTCTCCAGGAATTTGTGCTTTTGTTTCACAATCCTTACCCTGACTGGAAGATGTCTAGTGTGGAGGGCGCGTAAAAAGTGAAGCGATTGCCAGGTTTATAAAGTGTAAATACACGGGGGCTGTTGCCTACAGCTTTGAACCAATTGTGTAAGAGGCAATGCAACAAAGAGTGAATGAAACGGGGAGTGATCCCAGATGTTAGCTTATTGAACAGAAAGAGATGAATGTTTTGACACCTGCAATCTTCCCTTTATCCTACCACCCACAGAGGTTCAAAAACACAAGCTTGGTTAGTCACTTCTCCCTGATTTCTTACCTCCCTCTTTTCAACTTTGATCACATAGGTTTAAGGTGAGAAAGGAAAGATTTAAAAGTGACCTAAAGGGGCAACTTTTTCATGCAGAGGATGGTGTGTGTATGGAACGAGCTGCCAGAGGAAGTGGTGGAAACAGGTACAATTAGAACATTTAAAAGGCATCTGGATGGGTGTATGAATAGGAAGGGTTTAGATGGATATGGGCCAAATGCTGGCTTCTGTTTGGCATGGATGAGTTGGACCGAAGGGTCTGTTTCTGTGCTGTACAGCTGTATGACTCTATGACATTATCCGGTGCAAACTTTGACCTTCCACCAATGTGTTTGCAAATTAAAAAAGGGTAGGCCTGGCTCAGTCCTGCTATTCATCACAGTGCATTTTTATTACGTGGGAATATTTTGGGAGGAAACCACACTGTACCAGGATGGACAAATTACTCTTTACACCTGTCCTCTCAGAGGGATATCAGTAGACCTTGCTCCCGAGTGATGAGAAATGAGGTTTGCAGCGTTGTGTTAATTGTCTTCTGACTACCAGCTCAAACCTGTTGAATTTTGTCCTTCATTGCTAGAGGGATTGAGTTTAAAAGCAGGGAGGTTATGTTACAGCTGTATAGGGTGCTGGTGAGGCCACATCTGGAGTACTGTGTGCAGTTTTGGTCTCCTTACTTGAGAAAGGATGTACTGGCACTGGAGGGGGTGCAAAGGAGGTTCACTGGTTTGATTCCAGAGCTGTGAGGGTTGGCTAATGAGGAAGGAGTGAGTAGACTGAGATGATATTCATTGAAATTTAGAAGAATGAGGGACAGTTTGATAGAAAAATTATGAAGGGAATAGATAATATAGAAGCAGGGAGGATGTTTACACTGGTGGGTGAAACTAGAATAAAAGGGCATAGCCTCAAAATTAGGGGCAGCAGATTTAGGACTGAATTGAGGAAGAACTTCATTACCTAAAGGGTTGTGAATCTGTGGAATTCCCTGCCAGTGAAGTAGTTGAGACTTCCTTATTGAATTTTTTAAAGCTGAGATACATAATTTTTTGAACAGTAAAGAAATTAAGGGTTATGGTGAGAGGTTGGTTATGTGGAGCTGAGGCCACGAAAAGATCAGCCACGATCGTATTGAATGGCAGAGCGGGCTCGAAGGGCCATATGGCCTACTCCTGCTCCTTGTTCTTACGTATTGACTTCCCCCAAAATGGTCAGTCTCCTGGGAACATAAACACAATAGATGCATCCTTCCAAGACAACAAGGTGCAGG